TTATAGATTAGAAGATATAAAGATTTATTGGATTGTGTTAAACATTTTGTATTTATTGGATCATAAAATATTGAGGTTCTAGTCTGATTTTATTTACATGATAAACCCGATAAAATGTCAATATGATTATTAAACATGTGAATTTATTCTAAATAAATCTATTTTTGATGGAAATAATGTGAACCTATAGATTTTGCTCCTTTAAGCTGACACAATTGTGATGGAATCAAGCGTGCGTTAATGACTTAAGACTTTTCACTATCTGCTGTTAAGCAGTTTGCCACAGATTGTTGAAAGGTGTCTCTGATGAAGGTTTGACATCATCTCTAACACTTAGAAATGACATCTTCTTGTTTCTTTGACCCTTTTTGCAGCTTTGCTGCGCTTTCCAAGATGATCGACACCTCTATATGGTGATGGAGTTCATGCCTGGAGGAGACTTGGTCACGCTGACTATAAACTACGACATCCCAGAGAAGTGGGCCCGCTTCTATACGGCCGAGGTGGTGCTGGCGCTGGATGCTATCCACTCCATGGGCTTCATTCACCGCGATGTGAAACCGGACAACATGCTGCTGGACCAGCAGGGACACCTCAAACTAGCCGACTTTGGCACATGCATGAGGATGGACTCGGTGGGCTTATTTGACAGTTGTTGTGGTTTATATGTTTAAGCAATTAGAGATTTCTAGTTTTTTATGTAATAACTACATTTTAGACATTTCTTAAAGAAAAATTGAGATAAGTTTCTTTGTCAGAGATTTTTTTTTTCATTTAAAGCTGTATTGCACCACCAGGTGTTCAAATGGCTGAAGTGGCAACCAGCGCTTCACTCATCAGGTTGTTTTGAAAAGGCTCAGTAGTTGTTGTGCTGAGCTACCAACCAAAATGCTGCTGTGGTTCTGCCTCTAGTCACAAAACAGGAAGTGTTTTTCAGCTTTTTTTTTATTCTTTTTTTTTAAACATTGCTTTTTTTTTTTTTTTAATAGCAGGTTACACACATTCATGACTCGGGAATATCCTTTACTCTTTTAAAACTCTAGAATAACAACAAAGCTTGTTTTATTTGCATAATAAATGTTATACAATGCCTTTTAAAATGGAAGTTAGAAAGTGTTTTACTAAATTACTTAAGAAGAGAAACATTTTAAATCAAGACTATAAGAAAATACCTAAATACCTGAAGCAGGTAATAAATCGCAAAAAATATATTGAAAAATGGCTAAATAAATAAAGCTTATCTCAAATTAAGAAAACAAAACATTTCACTGGTGCAGTATGACTCAAAGTTGGAGCTCAGAGAAAAAAATATTGATGTGAAAAAAGAAATATAAATATCCTCTTTATGCCACATTCAAGAAAGTATGTGAAATATTAGAAAATGGTTTAATTTAGTTACCGTTAAATAGATCATTGTTAGACTGATTTTAATCAATTGTATAGACGTTTTTTTTTCCTTGCAACCAAGTTGTTATGAAAGAATAATCAGAATCAGAATTACGATCACCAATCACATGTTCATGCTTAAAAAGCTCAGTAGTTTTAAAGTTATTTAAATACATTCCAAAAAAGTAAAAAAAGAATCCACTTGACTTTGTTTCCAAGTTTGAAGACGTTTCGCTTCCCACCCAGGAAGCTTTGTCAATCCAAAGTGTCTAAATCTGGCTAAAAAGCTGGCTAAATCTTCAAGGTGTGACAGGGCCCTTACCAAAAGTTGAGTTTGTTTAGACATTCTGACATTGATCATTTTAAAATGCATTAATGGTTGCCCCTCGCCTAAACTCTGTCTAAACCTTCACTAATTGTTTTCTGTGTTACATTGTGTGTTTTCCTCTCTACAGACTGGTATGGTGCACTGTGAGACAGCTGTAGGTACACCAGACTACATCTCCCCTGAGGTGCTCCAGTCTCAGGGCAGTGATGGCATCTATGGTCGGGAATGTGACTGGTGGTCTGTTGGAGTTTTTCTATATGAATTGTTAGTTGGTAAGTTATATTTAAAAGCCGATTTTCTTTTTTAATATATCGCTCCTCCTCCAGAGGTTTTAAACTCTCATCTCTGTTGTAGGTGAAACTCCATTCTATGCTGAGTCTCTCATTGGAACCTATGGGAAGATCATGAACCACCATAACTCTCTCGTCTTTCCGGACGATGCAGAGATGTCCCAGGATGCTAAAGATCTCATCTGTGCCTTTCTCACTGACAGGTTTGCACATCAATCCTTTTTTAAAATGAGAATTAAATTAATGGTTAACTTATTGAAGGGAGTGTCAAAAGAAATCCTGTATTTTATATGACCAGCAAGCATACTTTGGTACGATGGTGAAGATTTCAATGTTTTCTTCACTCAGCGCATTTTAGAAAGAAGTTAAAAGTAACATGGCAAAATCGTTCTTCCTACCAAACATTAATAAAGCTTTGTACTAATATGCAGTATTGGCAAGATCTTCATGCTTAATATGATTTGTGTCTGAACATACAATGATTAGCAGAAGTCTTTTTTGGGGATTTTATGCTTTCCAAATTGCCAAACTGACTGTAGCTGTTGACTCCAAAGAGTCTGAGAATGTTAGGGTTTATATTTCTCTGCGTTAACCAATCATTAACTACAATCTCTCTGGAACTTGTTGCAAGAAAACATCAGACTAATATTTTTTAAATCTAGAAAACAGTTAATGCATTGGCCAAAACAAAGGTGGGAGAGGTGGGCTAGTGGTTAGGGCATTGCGCTTCGAATCCAAAGCCCCCCTCCCACAGACTGCCACTCTGGGTCCCTAAGCAAGACCCTTAACCCCAAACTGGTCGCCTCAAAATTGCAGCTCACTGCTCCCCAAGGGGATGGGTCAAATGCAGAGGGGAATTTCTCCAGTGTGAGATTAATACATTTCAGTTATTATCAATTTCTATTAACAAAAAAACAAAGAAGAAAAACATAATCTAAAGTTGCCTAGAATATTATCTAAGAAATCCTTTTTTTCTGATTACTGTAGTAAACTGCCCTGGGTTCTATATCTGACATTATCTATCCTACCCCCAAATCACATAAAACGATAAATATTTTCCTTAAAATAATAGTAAACATATTTTGTTTTCATTTAATTAAATATTTAACATGCATGCACGACTGTTTAGTTTGTTACAAATTTCCCAAATTGCAAACCGTGTTGATTAGTCAGACAATATGTTGCAAAAAGTAACCACACCTTAATTTAGCTTCCATGTGAGCACTCCAGATAAAATGAAATTAATATTTTGAGGCTTAGGTTAGATATGCTTTGGTTTGGCTGCAATTATTAGGAATCATCATGTAGATGGTTGATTGTTAAGTACAATGTAAAAGTATTTAGACTTAAACTGTCCCACATTTTTCCCTGTTATACCCTCAAACTTAAATGTCTGATTAAACAAGAGAAGGTAACGCATGCTGAAATGAAAGACCACAGATGGTTTAAAAGGTGATCGACTAAGGAAAATAGAATTTAAAAAGTGTGGCCAGAAGTTTTATTGAGCCACTATAATGTGATGCATCTAAATAAATTATAGTCATATGGGTTAAATTCAGTAGTCCCAGTTTCCTCATTTGGTGAATAAACTGAGACCTAAAGTTCTTATATAAAGTTATATTAAAAAAATAAAAACCATGTTTTCATTGCTGTTTACCTAGAGCATAACTCAACAAGAGATGTTTCCTTGAGAGAAAAAAATATGTTTTGAATCTGAATATTATGATTATTAGTAATAATAATGATAAAAAAACTAGGGCTGCAACTAACGATTATTTTGCAAATCGATTGTTGATGATAATTTTTTTTCCGAGTAATCAGATAGCCAAAGGTTCCTTAAAGAACTCTTTTTGCAAATTTAAACCAGTTTACACTGAAACTTTTACACTTGATGAGTCCTAGATAGAGCATATTGACAAAAGATAAAGTGTTTTTTTTATCTGAAATGCAAAATGTTTACATATTTTTTTACAGTTTTGGTATAAATACTCTCTCACGCTATCAGCTAAAGGCATATTTTAGAGTCTTTACTCCAGTTAACGATTAATTGATTACTAGATTAATTGACGATTATTTTAATAATCGTTTAATAACAATTAATCCCATTAATTGTTTCAGCCCTATAATAAATTTGAACAGAGGTCATACAAAAAATAATGTCTCTTTATTTGAGCAGGTTTGGCTATAATCCCCCCAAGGAGAGTTAAACTTAAGTATTTTTGCCAAAAACAGCTGAATCAGTATAAAGGCCTCCTCTGTAAAATTAGTATTTAAAGTATTAGTTCAATGAATGGATAAAGGAGTAGTGGTCCTGCTTTGTGGCCCTTTTTAGTGGAAAAGACCACTTCCTGTTTACATTACCGGCCCCTCCCCAGAGAAACTTCAAACTTCTCTACAGAGCCGCCTTTCATTTTTCCCTGCTCATTCAGTTTATTTACCTTCTTACTCACTATTCTCCCACCATAGACAGAATCAGACGTGTGGCTGAGGCAGCATCACAAACACTCACACTAATCACTGCATGCATTTAACCCACATACTGTCATTGTCTTCAATCTTGCTGTTTCACTCCTCCCACAGTCTCTGTTTGAGTTATTTCTTTTTTCCTTTCTGTATTTTTTAATTGATATAGCAATGTGTAACATTTTCTACCTCATCTGTGCCAATTTCCATGTCTCCATTTTTCCCTCTCCATCCATAAGTTGTCCCTGTGTGCTTTCAAACCTGGCTCGGTTGCATGTTGCTGTTTCTTTTGAAGCAGGCATCAGAAAACTATTTCTTTCTTCTTCCCCACCACCTCTGTCTGTCCCTTCTTGATATTGGAATGTCCCACACGTGGCAAACCCAAACTGCCGCACCCCTCTGCAGCCAAGCACCCAGAGGTGGTGGAAGTAGGGGGAGACATTGGGGGAATGGTGGATGAAGTAAAGTCTTGCGTTACTGACGGTGACTGTATTGCTTTAGTTCTGGCTGAACACAAACTGTTCTCTGCACTGGCTCCATTCTGGTCAGTTTGGTCAAAGTAGTCAGTGCGATGGACCCTGTGTTTTGGGATGACATGATGGTGATGGTGGGTGGGGTTGAGGAGCGTTTTGCAGGGTCACTAAGGCGACTGGCTTCTCAGTAACTCTCTGCCTCCTCCTTGTTGCTGTGCGCAGGAACGATCGACTGGGCCGCACCGGAGTGGATGAAATCAAACGTCACCCATTCTTTAAGAATGAGCAGTGGAACTTTGACAACATCCGTGATAGTAAGTGATCCTTTGAGCCTGTGCAGGTGACGTTTTTTTCTCTTATTTTTCTTTTCCAATCTCTGGTCATCTGAAACTAAACTCTTGTTACCATTTCTGCCTTATCACAGCTCATTCCATTCCCTTTCCAGATCTGCTCTGCTTTAGCCTGTTATTTCAGTTTATTTCCAGCTCCTGCACCACTAAGCCCCACTTGTGGCACACATGCTCTCCATATGTACATCTCAAATTTGAGATCACAACATGGAATGCTTTGTGGAGGAGGAAATCATGTTTTTACTCAAATCCTTCTGGAAATCCAACATTATCTTCAAATAATACATTAAAGAGAATTGGCAAGCTATTTTCAAAACAAGCAGCAGTGAGTTTCTATTGTTCGATTGCTGTGAAGTTAAGCCAACTCCTTATCTTTACATTATTGTTGTTGTACAATGTATTATGTGCATTTAAATTGTGCAATAGGGAAATGCTTTATAAAAGTTTACTAATTCATTTAAAACAATAAACTGCATTGAGTACCTGTAAAACACCTGTAAAATATCAGCAGTTAGCATTATTTAGGAAAATTGCAGTGAGGGGCAAAAGCCAAAGAGTTTTAATGGGGCCTTGTTTTTTGAATCAAAGTCATCATGAAAACTCAAAAAGGAAACAAAATTTTTCTTCTCCAAACGATCCAAAAAACCTCAGGTTTTAAAATTAACACCACATCCTAGACATAGGCTGGCTGAGATCAGTAACTTCCACTGCTGGTCAAGTGAACAGGAGTTACATTTTCATTTCATTAATACTACAACATTTTACTGTTATTTTGATTTCTGATTAAAAAAATAAATCTTTAAAAAAGCATTAGAATAAGACCCTGAAGCATTGATATGTATGTATCAAACTTGTTGGTCTATGTCATTATCATTGCTCTATTATCATTGGTAACTGGTACCAAAATTACATATTTGTCAGTTCATTACTTTTCCTTCATGTGTGGTGGGTAGCCTGCAGTCATTTACTTAACAGGCACACCTCATTATTTGGGGTCTTAATGCAGCTTTACCATAAGAATCAGCTGACAGGCAGTGTGCAGCAAAGGGTAGGGTAAGGAAAACTAATTTAAATTTTTTTTTAAAAGGTATGATGAAAAAAAAAAATCCAAAATGAACTTAGCCAAACCTTCCTACTGGTAACCCTCCCATTTGTACTTATCCTATGCTGTCATTACTTTTTGGAACACTGGTTTACATGTTTTGTTTTGGTCTTAATATTCATAACATGTTTTTTTCTGCAAGGAAGTGTATTATTGTTTTTATGTTAATTTTGTTATCAAAGGCTATAATTTTGCTCTACCTTTCACCTTATTATCCTTCTTTTTTTTTTTTTTTACATAGGTAGCATATTTTTTTGCCACAAATGTATTTGGATTATTTTATGTTGGACAAATGTAATTTAATGTAGTATGTAGGTATGACATTAAGGATGAAAGTTCTGTTTTTGATAGCTTTAAACAGGTCAGTAAGACTAAGTGAGAGTCTTGGTAGTTTGCTTTGTTTTGTAAAAAAATGAAATATTCGTAACAGAAAGCTCTTTGTACATGTTAAATATGTGAGTGGGGGGGAAGGAAAATTAGAAATTCTATATTAGGATTATGAAGAGCACCTTTGTGTCTGTGGGTGATTACATTCATACTCTTTTCCTTTCGCCTCTCCATTTCTCCCCTGCACCTGGCTCTGATTATATAGACAGACTCAAGTTCTGATCAGAGTCGTGCAGTCTGGAACATGAAACCACTTCTGTGCCGCTGCCTAGCTGCAGATGCATGTCTTGCTGCAAACACTAACACATATGCTCACACACACACACATGCTCACACACACACACACACACACACACACACACACACACACACACACACACACACACACACACACACACACACACACACAGGTTTAAACGAGAGGGTAATACTGTGTGCTAATTGTGACCCTCGTTCTGTGTTCACACTTTATCTTGTACCAGCTGTTTTCTTGTTTACTGCAATAAATGGATGCATGAGTGCAATGAAAGGACGAAACGTGCGGCGGACACAGGGGCTGTGAAAGGCGCATCCTCCGTAGCAGAGGGCAGGGCCCATCATGTGGCCTCGTCTAATGAGAGGGGCGCCCCGTTTCCATAGGCTTCAACTCTCTCTTTCACTCTCACTGTGGTCTCCGCTGCCTGTCATTAGGCTCCCGCTATCAGAGAGCATTCTGGGAAGGCCTGCCACAAGTCCATCTACGTCTCTTTTTGTGAAACCACATTTTTAACTCCTGTTTTCAGTTTCTTGTTTCATATCGCCCCCTGCATTGAATTCATTCCTGTGTATATTTTCTGCCATCTTTGAGTCCGATTCATCATGCTCATGGACAAGTCTCAACATAACAGCACTGAGCTCCTTGCATAGAGCCAAAGTTACACTGGTCTGCAGCCGACTGCTGTTTTTTTTTAATTGGAATCTTTATATAGACTAAAGGAGCAGTTTCAGTTTTATCTGATTGGCTCCCGTATGGATTTGTGTCTGCATGCAGTGTTCAAAAGAATGTTTGCTCTTGTGAAAGGAGAGCAGAGGGTGCTGTATTTTCTTTCAGCTGCCGTGGTCAGATTTTGTTTGGGGAAGGTAGCTGTGTGTGTTGGGGGGTGGGGGGGGGTTGGTCAAAGCAGGCACTGTGTGCAGAAAAGGAGTGGTGTCAAGCTCACGCCAACTTCTAGAGAAAGTACTGCTCCTACTGGCCTTGCCAAGGTTGGCGCAGGGTTGGTTTAAAAGGGTGAAAAAAATATTCAGTGCTAAAGACTTTTTAAAGAAGGGTGTTTAAATATCCAGTGCCCCCTGGAACATCTTTACATTTTGTCAAGTTCAGTGCAATACTCTGGAATTTTGTTACACAACATAACTAATTTAGAGGCAGAATGTATTTTTTTAATGCATTTTCCCCCCTCTCCTCTTTTATTGTTTTTACAAATGAAACTCTAAAACCTGTGCTGTGCATTTGTATTCAGGCAGCTTACATCAATTCTCCTAAGTATCACCATTAAAATCAATTGTCTTTGGAAGTCACCTTGTTGGTGTCCAACTTAAACCTGGTATTATCTGTGATGACCAGCATCATGATTTTTTTTTAATGTTTCTAAGACACAAAGTAGACATGAAAGAAGGAAAGCTAACATTCAGCATTAGCCTGAACTTAAAATCCCCTCTGTAAAACACAGAGTTGTCAGCATAATACTGTGGGGATGCTTTGTTTGACAGGGACAGGGAATATGGTAGGAGTTGAGAGGGAGGTTGATGGAGTTAAAAACTAACAGGAGGCTGTAATGTGGAAAAGGTGGATCCATAAACGATGACTATGGGAGTCTGAATACCAATGCACTCCACACTTTTTAGATTTTTTAAAGAAAAAATATTGTTCCATTTAAATGCACTATGTTTTGCTGGTCTATAGCACATCAACAAATAGAATGCAAAAAGGGTTGAAACATATAAATACTTTTCTTAAACATAGTTAATAACTATTGAGCAACCCAACAGAGCTATACAGTACTAAACAGAATCTTTATTCCTGCTCTAACCCTCTTGGTATGCACCTCCTCCTCGCTCCATGTGTCTCAACGACTCGCCCTCTGTTTCTGTATTCCAGCTGTGGCCCCAGTGGTTCCAGAGCTGCACAGCGACATAGACACCAGTAACTTTGATGATATAGCAGTGGACAAGGGAGCTGCTGAGACTTTTCCTACTCCCAGAGCATTTGCAGGGAACCAACTACCATTTATTGGCTTCACTTATTTCAAGGATGATCAGTAAGTTTTTTTTTAATCGTATGGAGTTTTTAATGTTGCTTTATATGTATAAATGATTGATTAATTTTGTGGTTGATGTATTTTAACGTTGTTCTTCCATTAGAATAAACATTGCATTATGCTTAAAGCTGAAGGTAAAAAAAAAAAAAAACAGCTTAAAGCTAACTCTACAGCAGCCAGACACTGTATCCCTGTTTTAGACTCATACTGCCGCCTTGTTCTGACAGCTTCTTTAAACGCCCTTTTCACTTCTGATTTACTGTATCATAATTTCCGTCATGTAAGCTTAGCCTAAAATTAAAGAGAAAAAAACGGGTTTGTTTAATTTATGTCACTAAATCATACAAGCTTATCGCCTGAAAACTGATAAATGTGTCGCTATTTGTGTTTAAACCAATTATGCCCAAATGGCCAATGCAGTAATTCTGCATTTTTATTTCAGCATTCCCTTATTTATAGATGAATGTAAGGTTGATTGTAGGCCTTGAATAATTGGAAACATTTTTAATGAGAAAAATCAAAACTGGGGATAGGGCTGGGCAATCACTTGCATTTGCAATATAATCTGAATTTTAAAAATTTTATTTTCATATTGCAAAGGTAGTAACTTTTAGTCACATTGCATTTAACAAGAGTAAGACACTAAATTTCTTACTCAAGCATTTTGGGCGGCAGTAAAACGCTTAAATTTGGTTTGTCTCCACACAAAAAGCTAGAGAGATTAGCAGCTAGGTCCATGCATGCAAGTAGAAGTTAGCACTTTTTCACACAAAGGTTGCAGTAAAATACTGCATTAACAGAGTCTGGAAAAGTTTCTATTGAAAATAAAAATCAAAATAGAATTGCAATTGCAATATTGGTTAAAAATCATTTTAATTTTGAGTTTTGCTAAAATTGTTCAGCCCTAGCTGGGGATACAAGTATGATTTTGAGCTCTAAATCAATTAATCTCACACATACAGTCTCAAGTACATCCCCATGAATCATCAAATCTAGTTGTTTCTATGACATATTGACATTGATATTGTGGTGTCAATCAATATTGAGACCACGATATTCACATCCATATTGGACCCCTGTCTCTGACTCCATCAAAGGCAGCTAGAAACTTGGGTATCATGAGTGATGACCAGCAGGCCTTTAAAGATCATGTTACTGTTCCTCGATCTTATCGCTTCACACTGCTAACGTAAGAACGATCCAGCATTACCTAACCCAACATGCTCCCCGGCTCCCGGTGCAGTCTATGCTTATCTCCCACCTCCCTATTGTAACGCATTCCTGACTCCTGACAGTAATTGAAAAAGAGAAGCAGTTTCATAACTGTTTTCAGTCTTTCATGGTGTCCAAAGGGGCAAATTAAATATATGTTATAGGATATTGATAAATATAGGTTATCATCCATAATGCAAATATTAACATTGGATATTGGTATTGGACCAGATTGGTGCGTCCCTAAAAAAACATTTAAAATCTTGAATACTTTACCTTTTACTTTTCCTATTAAAATAAATTACAATGTATGGTTGTGAATTTAAAAATCCAATATTAAGTTTAACAGAATATTTTGAATATATTTATTTGTTTTCATTAGTGTAACACTAGGATCTGCACCCCGGGAGCTAGAGTTGCCCTTTTGACCCTCTAAAATGGCTCTTAACAGTGGCTAAAAAATTATGATAACAAAATCCAGTTTTAGAAGAGTGTGTTTTTTTTTTTTAAAGAAAAAAGGACAATAAAATGAGCATCCATACATCTGTTTTTCTTTTCATTGTCTTGGAAATTGTTTAATTGGTCTTTAATTAGAAAATATCCTTCAGAAGTATTTGCATTATTCTTCTTAATTAAATGTTTCATGTATTTACGTACTTTAAAAGAGTACGTTGAATCGGTTGAACGATTTTGCCAAAAAACAAAATTGTGTTTATTTTTTAATCAATATTTAAAACACTATTTTATTCCAATTTCCTTTGCACTAACCACAAGCTTGTAGATGTTTTGTTTAATGGTTTCAGTTTTATCGTGACCTTGAAAGCTTGCTCGTCCACAGTCAATTTTTACAAGACTATACTGTAACCTTTGTGTGAAAAAGTATGTCTACGGTATTTGCATGCATTGGTTTCTTTTTTTTTTTTCTTTTGCTGGCAGCAACTCTCTCTTCCCATTTCAAGTGCATTACTGCCACCTAATAGGCCGCAGTGTCAAACATGCTGTATTTATCTTGTTAAATGTAACGTGGCCAAAATTGAGCGCCTCTGCGAGTTAAAAATTACGGTCTGTAAATTGAAGTTATATTGTAAATGCAATTAATTACCCAGCCCAAATTTCCTATAGATACTTTACAAAAATACAATTTACTTTACAGTTTGTGTTTTGTTTTTTTACATAACCTGAGGTAGATGTGCTCCACAAGAAGCACAGTTATGTTTTGGGAAATTATTCTGGGTCTGGCTTGTTTTGCAATATTTGTAGCTGTTGTGACAAGTTGGTGAAGGTAAATCCAGCTGTTTAGAGCTGTAAATTAGACTGCTGCTCCTTCTCTGTTAGGTTGGAGAGGGAGGATGGAGCAGACAAAGACAGCCCTTTCACTTTTTTTTTTTTTTTCGGTTTTGTTCTCTTACACTTTGAGATGTTGCTGTAAAGTGCAGCATAAATACTACATATCATCATTATCATGAGATAATTATCGTGATTATTACCTCCATCCTGTTTTCGAACTTCATTATTCTTTCACAGCCACTCTCAAACGGCCAGTAGCATAAGCAAATTACTTATTTCAATAAGACCAAATCAAACCTCTTTGGCTAATTTTGCCAGTTGTAGATCACCTGAAACATACCCACTTACTGAACACGCTTTTTTGTGGATGTTTTTCCCACACAATTTATTAAAGATGAGGCCTGTAATCTGTAATATTGCTGATCTTTCAAACCTCATATAATTCCTGAACTTTGGAATTGTCTGATATTTTTCATTTAAAGCTCTTCTCTGCCCTTAGGCTACTGAGCGAAACAGGCAACAGGTCTGAGGAGGATTCAGAGAAGTGTAAGGAAGACTCTCAGGATAAAGAAAAGTCTTCGGACCAAAGGAAAGAGGTGTGTGTCTGTGAGCTAGCTCTTAAACCTATTTGATAGGATGCACAGAAGACATTTTTTTCTTTCTTTTCCCTCTGAACAGCTGCTGGAAAAGGTTAACCAGCTGGAGGAGCAGCTTGATCATGAGATGCAGGCCAAAGATGAACTGGAGCAGAAGTGCAAGTAGGAGTTGAGACGCACACATTAAAGTTTACTTTGATGGATTTTAGTACTTCCTGTACAATCCAAAAACTATAGTTAGAATTTTTGACATTGAATTATATTTAAGTGGAAAATCTTTCTTGAAAATAAACAAAATTCATTTTTGAATCAATAATTTCATGTATGTGTTTGGAAACCGACAGAATCAGCTACAATGATGGAGCTAATATTCTTAGAGATGTTGCAGTTGGTTAATTGAGAAAAACAATCTGATTGGTAATTTTTAGCTTCTTTTTAGTTTTTCTATAAATGATAATCCGGTGTTTTGTAGAAGTTAAGGGAATATTTAAAAGATTGAGTCTAAAAAGTGTTTTAATTATGACGAGTGTTGTATAGAAAATATTGTTTAGATTCCTACCTACTCTATAGTGTGACAGGAATTATGTAATGAAACTTCTTTTGGTTCCCAGAAACGCTACCAATCGTTTAGACAAGTTGGTCAAAGAATTGGATAAAGAGGTAAATATGGATTTAAGAATATCTGCATGTGTTTTAACCAAGTTTGGTATAATAAAGGAGACTGAATTAAGGAAGTTTGTTTTCATCCCTGCTTTGTTAGATGAACAGTCGGCAGAAAGTGGAAGCCTCATTGAGGCAGCTGGAGCGAGAGCGAGCTCTGTTGCAGCAGCAGAGTGCAGAGAACCTCCGCAAGGTGGAAATGGAGGCGGACAGGAAGCGCATCCTGGAAAACCAGAGTGAGTATTTAGTAGTCTTTACCTCCCTCTTGGCTTTTTTGATTTTCCAAAACTTTTAATGTTGTTTGTCTTGACTGGCTGTTTAATTACAGTAAACTGCTTGAAGGACCAGCTGGAGGACATGAAGAAGAAGAACCGTGACTCACACATTTTTAATGAGAATAATGTCCAGCTGCAAAAACAAGTGAGAAAGAAGCGTTTTTGTTGTCAGTCATCACAAAGCAATCTGCTTTTCTTGCAGAAATATGAGAACTTGTTGTCAAACTTTGCTTGTTTTTACAATGTGTATTTAGAAGATAAGTTGAATTACAAACAAGCATTTTCATCAAAGTTTATGGAGAGATTTGCTCTGAAATTTTAGAGTAAAAAAGTAAAACTTGCCTTATGCACATGATTGTACAGTATGCAACTCGGTATTTAAGCCTTCTAATAACATAAAATGTTTGTAGAATCATTCTTTATCAATCATAAGAAAGCTTAATAGGCCTTATAGATCTATATACGTCTCTAATGATTATACAGTTTTTACTACCAATAGTTTTATACTATAAGGTATTCCAGAGTTTTGCATAATGTCCCTGAGGAAGTATTTGTTCAAATTAGATAATGCAGAAACCCTTTTGTCAGGATTACAGCGATTATCTTCATTTTGAAAATCACAAGCTAATGGAAAGATACAGAGCACACTAAATAGATATAACAGCCTATGTTGAAAATCAATTATAAAGTTAATCTTTTCAAGGTCCAGACTGATAAAGTAGATGCAGTTTTATATCTCTAGGCTAAAAGATGCAGCAGGGGAAAGAAGGCAGGGTTTGTGATTTGATTACTGTGTCTAATGATGGCATACGACAGATAACAGCCCACCTGATGGACATAGAGTACACTGAGGTATAAAAAGAAATCAGGAAATGTTGTCCTGGCATCATTTACATTCTTTTGACACTCAGGAAATCATGAGCCAAAGCACTGTAACTGTACCATTGCTATGCAAAACGTAAATAATGTTAAAGTTGTTTTTTTTTTTCAGAAAGTCTTGTACTATAAGAAGTGTTGTTTAAAGAGTGATCACTCCAGGTATATAGAACTGGGAATAAGCCCTGAGGTGTAAGCGCCTTCAGGGGGCAGCAGCCTATATTTCTAAATATATGTTATATATGAACTCATGAATGTCTTAAATGCACCGCTATTTTATGTCCATCCTCCATTTTCAGTTCTGCTGACATAATCAACATCCTTGGCATAAATATTGAATCGACATAACAGTTTAATCAGTACCCTTGGATGTAGACTTTCCTTCCTCCTTACCTGAGTAACAGATAGCTTAACAGTACTATAAAGTCCAGCAACCACAGAGTAACTGAACTTCATTCCTTAAGATTACAAAGTTGAAAATATCTTCATATTCTCCTGACATCTTCTATTCGATTCGGTTGATTTCTGTAGCACCAATTCACAACACTCGTCATCTAAAGTCACTTTACAATTCAACCAGATCATACAGTCAAATTGATTTAAAGTTTTCCAATTAAGGAAAAATAGTTGATTGCATCGACTCATTGACTCGAAGGCAATCCCTCACAGTAATTATGCTTGTAGCTACAGTGGAGAGGAAAAACTCCCTTTTAACAGGAAGAAACCTCCAGCAGAACCAGGCTCAGTGTGAGCGGCCATCTGCTGAGGCCGACTGGGATTCAAGGAGACAGAAGCAGAAACCGAAAAAAGCAGCTGTAAAAGGCGGCCCCGTCCAGGAAACACACAGCCAGGCAGACGAGCTCCGAGTCAGCTCCCATGTCAGAGGATGAAGAGATCACATCCACCCAGTCACAGTCAGAGAAACAGGACTACACTGAAAAATACAGGCCAAGCTCCAACATCTATAAACAAAGGTGTTGATGGCAGCAGCACAGCTGACATTATATTCATTAAGGAACACAAAGTCACATACTTTACAGACTATTGTTCTTATTTTCTTATTCTTTCATTCTGTTATAATACCAGAACACCTCAAATTAACACCTGAGGATCAATAAAGTATATTCCGTATTCTACTCAAGACATAGCAGATTTTTTCCTCTTGTTATGTTGCTAAATGTTCTGCTATAATGGAAAGAAAAATAACTTAACAGTAAATGAAGATGAACTAAATCTGTTTTGGTTTTTTTCCCTTGTAGCTGGAGGAGGCCAACAGTGCCCTGCAGGCTGAGCAGAAGGCAACTGCCCTTCTGAAGAAGAGCCAGTCAGAAGCACAGAAACAAGCCCAGAACCTTGAAGTTAGCCTCAAGGAGATGGAGAAAAAGTGTAGCAGTCTTGAAGCAAACAAAGCGGAGCAGGAGAAGCAGATATGGGAGCTGCAAGCTGAACTGGAGGAGGAGAAGAGAGAACGCAACCTTAGCACAGAGGCCCTCGCTGACCTGCAGGGTGAGGCATGGAAACAACTAAATAGCCTGTTTATTATATTCATATTGCAAAATATGATCTAGACCTGTGTTTTTTAATATCTAATAAACCTGATATTCCAGTGTCCATGAAGTAAACATCCCATCAGTTGTGGAAAAGAAGGCATTACATAACTTATAGTTGCACGGAGAATTAGATATGAATGGTTTTCTGGATTCAGTCTTGGGAAATATTGGATCATAGGTGGAAACATTTGCTGAGGGAAGTGGAGAGGGAAGCAAGATGCCAGAATTTGACTTTTTCTTTTTAGAGGTGGCCTTAAACTTTGTTCTCCGTCCATATTGAGAGGCCTTCCTATGAGGTCAGAGGGGAATGTGTTGGGACAAAGTTTTACCTGTTTTCTGTGATGACTCATCACTCTTTTTGGGTGTATTCATGGAAAAGAAAAATAAACTTTAAGTGTCGTGTTTTTGTCTGCTTTGGGCAAAACATGAGCTATGACATAGAAAATGTCTAAAATTAAGCATGCCAGGTGTTAAATCATTTTGTGTTTGTGTTGTATCATTTTAGAGAGACATAAACAATCCCTCTGCGGTCCCATTATTTATTTTTCTAACTTATATTTTTTTATTCCTTCACCTTAGTTACTATTTCAGTCCTAGAAGACGAAGTTAAGGAGGCGAAATCATCTCTTTCCAAGGTCAAAGATGAAAAGAAGGAGCTGCAAACAAAGTTAAATAATCTTGAAAAGGTAAATCAGTATGTTCTCTTTGTGAATATATTTGAGTTCAATAAATTGGGTTTTAGATAACATAACACGAATGTTTTGACTGCAGGAAAAGAACAAGCAAGAGATTGACTTAACTTTCAAGCTCAAGTCGCTCCAGCAGAGTTTGGAACAGGAGGAGGCAGAGCATAAGGCCACCAAAGCAAAGCTCTCAGATAAAAAGGAAACCTACCAGTCTATCGAGGAGGCCAAATCTGAGGCTTTAAAAGGTGGGAAAAAAAGGAAGATAAATGTACAGATTCAGCTGGAACCCCTAGTATAGTAAGGATTTGTAAAAAGTGTTCACATAGAAAAGTAATTTATCATTAATGTAACCCTTAAAATGAAAAAGAAGACGGGCTTCATTTTGATAATGTTTATTAAAGTTGGAAAATCTAACTAGGACACGTTCTGTACTAAGCTTTGCCTATCTTTTATTTTTTGGCAGTCGTCTGTGGCCACCACATTTCTATTTAGAATAACCTGCTATTTCAAAGGTTTATGCTGTTATGCTCTCACAGATCTTTCTCTAATTAACTTTGAGGATTTGGTGCTTTTATGCACAATCTTCCTTTGTATAATTTAAGACCTCTGTAGAGTCTGAAAAATGACATTGTAGTGTCAACTGACCAAAACACAAAGTTACACGCAAAGTTGAAAAAGTTTCAACCACGTTTACTTTAAAAGAAGTTTTCTTGAAACCGTCTTTTTCTTGTTCTAATTCAATGTATTTAGATAAATGTTTTGGGGTGTGATTATGGTAATGCTTTGGACGATAGAGCTTTTCTTTAAATTTGAGCTACTGTAGATATTAAGGCTATAGTTTAACTATATTAGAAGACGTATGCCGACCATGAATCAGTTTAGGAAAAAAAAGTTAATGTCTATTTAAGGCATAAATAAAATCTGTATTTTGACATAAAAATTAAACTTCTTCCTCTTTTTTCGGTGCAGAGATGGAGAGCACTCTGGAGGAGGAGCGCAGCTTGAAGCAGCAGGTGGAAGAAAACTTGCTACAACTAAAGAAGGACCACTCGATGCTAGAATGGGATCACAAGCAAGCTCAGCAAAAGCTGGATGAGTTGCAGGCACAAAAGGAGAAGCTTTCTGAAGAGGTGACTTTAGAAGTAGAAAAGCATGAGCTACTGAAAAATCTGCCTGGGTTACAAGAGTTGCATTTAAGAATCTGCATGTTTATCGGGAGAATGGGAGATATTGTTCCTCCAAATATATGACATAAAATATCGTTAATAAATTAGCATTAAATAATCAATAATTGCATTTTTTAAATCAAACTTTAATAGGCCATAGAACATCACATTTTTATTTTTATTATTTATTAATTTTTTTAATCAATGATGGGGAAGTTATTGCTGTCCAAGTCACAAAGTTAGACCTGAAGTGGACTTCCAGTTTAAAAGTCAGAACATAGGATCTTATTTGAGGAGTCACAGTGAGACATTACATTAAATTTCACATCTAAGCTCACAGCAGCAGCTAAAACTACAAGCAAAGCCTAGAACAAAACAAAAAAAAGAAAACAATTATTTTTATGATAAATTTATTTAAACTATGATCAATTTGAATTGGGAAGTATTTATGTCATTATTTATTTTCGTCGTCGTCTCCAGCTTTATCCGGAACCACAATTATTTTTATTTATTTATTTTCATTATTTTTTTGGGCAAATATATTTGGGATTAAACCAATGGCGTAATGACACAACAAAAGGCCCATAATGACACAACAAAAGGCCCATAAACAACATTATCTGGGTGGGGCCCATATGCAGTACAACACCCTACACCGCGCCAACACCCCCCTCCCGCCGCCGCCGTAGCCAACCCAACCGAAATGTGCTCCATACATACACGCTTCATCATTTAATCATTCTTCACATTCACTAGACATGGATATAATTTAGTATAATCTGCTGTAAAATCAGTCTTATCGGGCTACCTTGAGTTTCACGGTCGCAGTCAATTTCCTGTTCGCAATCTTCACTCACTGTAGCAGCAACATCTCCCTCTATGGTTCTTTAAAAGAACGTCTTTATTTTGGGAAGTTTTTTCCATTCTTCCAGCAGCTTTTCTTTCCTTTTTCTTTTCTGGAATCCGCTTAAGTACCTCTTTTTGGTCTCCATCGTCGCTAACACATTTTACATAACGGTTATGGTTTCAATCTATGCTCTGGATTACCCATAATTCCAAGTCGTATTGTAAAAAATAGAATACTCAAATACATCGTTCTTTTAAGATCTTTATTGCGGTTTGAAACATATATGAGCGTATTTTTTTACCAAACGTCTAATGAAATATACACAGTTGACATGTTGAATAAAAGTACCACTGTCTGCTGCTATTGGTCCCATGTTTAAACGGCTCACCATCATGTTGAAATCTGCCATGTGTTGGGGTATAAATAAGGTCCGGTCAGTCAACCTAGTGTCAGGTGGGTTGAAGAGGAAGTTTTCACACCATCACATCTGCAAAAAGACGTCCTAGACCACAATTGCGTTGGGGCCAACAGGTGACAGCGACGGGGCCCCTAAGCAACTGCATACTCTGCTTATCGATAATTACGCCATTGGATTAAACTGTTATTAAATAAAACCTAGTCCTCCCAGAAGCTTATTATAAGAACTGGATTTTTCAGCCTAGTTATTGACAATAGTAAGATGAGAAAATAAAGCTAATAAATCATTTGTTGTGTAGATATAGATCTTTTCTCCTAAAATGCTCACTATTTAACAGGCTGTTCTGTTTGCTTGTGTGTCTAGGTGATGGACCTCACTCTACGCCTGGAACAGGAGATCCAGAAGCGAAGTAAAAGCCAGAGCGAACTGAAAGCTCACAAACAGCAGGTGTCTGTGCTCACCTCCTCAGAAAAACAGCTCAAACAGGAATTCAACCAACTCCTGGATATGAAGCAGAGTCTGGAGAAGCAAAACCAGGAGCTACGCAGGTCAGACTCGCATAAAATTTGCAATGAGCCCAATTTTCAAGCACACTCAGTGCTGCAGCTTTGAGTCTGTCTTGTTTTTTTGGCTGCTTTGGCTCTCATGCTCAAGCTTGGCCTTCAGCTGTGATTGACAGACTTTTGGTGTTATTTCAGGGAAAAGCAAGAGGCTGATGGCCAGCTGAAGGAACTGATGGACCAGCTGGAGGACGAGCAAAATTTTAATGTAACTCTCTCTCTTTAGTGCATCTGTCAAACAGTAGTGACAGCCGAATATTTCACAGTCAGTAACAGCTCCAACAGCATGACTGTTCAGCTTAGTGAAAAATATCATAAATCTGCATCATTAAGCACTAATGTACAATGTAAAATCTGTAATGATGTGTTTCTTTTTACCACAGACCCTGTACAGAAAACAGATCCATGAGCTGAAGGATGAAAATGATGAAAAGAATAAGATGTACCAAGAGGCACAGCAGCAACTGGCAGAATACCAGGAAGAAAGGTAACAGTCAAGTTTCACATAATAATGTTGTAAATGCTGTTCCAACATAAAATAATGTTATAACTGTAGTAAAGATCAAAAAAAGAAAATGGGGAAACTCAATCACTACTTTCCCTGTAAAAGAATAAATGTTTATCATATTACTAACACAAATTTCAATCTATTTTATTAGGACCTTTGTGGCAAATTTAATCCAGTTCAATTAAAAAAACACTTTACTGACCTCAAAGGAAAATTTAATGTTGTAACTCATATGTTTAAACTTAAATTATGTATTATTTTTATAGAATCTTTTTTTAACTACCGTATTTTTAAAATACGGTAAAATACCGTACTTCCTAAAATATTTAAAAAAAAATCTCAACATAGATATAATACCCCTGCAAAATCCTGAACAAGCAGTTGCCCTTTTATAAGTCAAATTATTACTCAATACAGTCTGGCAGTGTCTATTTTAGTTTAGCTGATTTTAATGGTACAATTTTGGCATTTTAATCCATCATGTTAAAATGAAACCTGGCCAGCATGGCCAAGGGCTGCGTTAACTGGGGAAGCAGTCAAGAGTAAGTGAAACTTTGGAGGGCTGCGGAATATGAAGCTCACTACAGTGAAACGTGCTGCCTTGGCAATTTTCTGTGCTGAAATCCCTAAAAAGAAAAGGCGACCAGCGTATTTGGACAAAGACATGGCTGAGCAAACATAGCTACTACGGTCTTTCAATTTTACAGAAAGAACTCCATTTCACTTGCATCCCCGCTATGACTCCGCCATGAGAGGCTGATCGCCCCTCGTTACCCCCTGTACACTACACGATGCACGATCAGGCTGAAAGTCAGCCCTCTCAAAGAATTCTCGCACAACTGGAACGTCGGCCCGAAAAGGGCAAAAAATCGTACGGTGTAAGCCTGGCTTCACTTTTAAAGCAAACAAACCTCTAATAAAGTTCAACCCAGCTACTAGGAAAATTGATTTACATCATAATTACAAGAATATTCCAGCTATTAAAAATGTAACTGCAGTTTCTACCTTGCTGCATCTTTTATCTTCTAGACTTTTTTTATACACTAAAAAATTGTCATCATCTAACACAGTACAGGTATACAGTAGATTGCATTAACAGATGTTGCTTAAATTAGTGGATATACATGTTTTCTTTGTGGTATGTCTACTGCCTGCATCAATACCGTGAGAACAATAGATTGTACAGCCCTACAGTAAATGTGCAAAGCTGGTAGAGACATGCCCCAGGAGATTCGCTGCTCTCTTTGCATTGAAAGGAAGTTGAGCAAATTATTGATTATTCAGTAGATATCTCACAGTTTCAAGTGTTACTAGCAATCTTTTATATATGTATATTTTTGGTTTTTATAGTGTGCAAATCTAATAAAATGTATTGAGGTTTGTAACATAAAGGTATTCAAGGTTGTATGATTGATCTTGCACTGTAAGTTTCAGTTGTTGTGGTTATTTTCTGTTGCTAAAAGTAACAAAGCATATATTATCTAAGCCTTAAAGAATGAAACAGACTTTCCTAACAAGTGCTAATGCTCTCCTGTGAATTCTTCTGTAGCCAAAAATCAGACTATGGGTTTCTCAAAAATATGGAAGCCAAACTGAATTAGAAAATGTCCCAAATGTTAAAAGAAAAGAAAAAATAGTTTCTATTAGAAAATCTGGTTCTGCATTCTTTATAAAAATCCAGTCAATTACAGAAATGTCATTGATTGATTATGTTCTGACATGCTACAGGCAGAGGAGTTCTAACTGGCATTATGAAGTTAATTCTCTTTAAAGTTTATTCAGCTCGAGCAGCTTAATAAGGGTTCATGTTTTTCTCTCTCCTGCTTAGGGCTTCTATGGCAGCGCAGCTGGAAAGCAGTTTGAAAAAAGCAGATTCCGAGCGACTTGCTCGCTCTGTCGCCGAGGAGCAGTACTCGGATTTGGAGAAGGAGAAGATCATGAAGGAGCTGGAGATCAAGGACATGATGGCGAGACACAAACAAGAGCTCAATGAAAAGGAGGCCACCATCACCTCAGTGAGATATGACTACATGGATTATAGCTGAGCTTTAATCCAATTTAATAACTTTTAAAACAAGTATATCCTTTTTTCTTTTTATGAAAAAACTGATTACTTTAAACATCTTTATTGAAATTAAGCAACAGAAAAAAGTTCATTGCATTTAAACACAACCAGATTTTGATCCCAGCAGCACAGTTCAATTTAGTAAGAAAGACTTCTTAAACAGATAATACAATCTTTATCTTGCAGTACTTGCAGGGATTGATTTTCCACCATGCTCCTCTAAAAATCATACTTAGGTTTTAATTTCTATTTATGCACAATTTAAACATTGTATTTTCACTGGATTAATATTGAAATCAAAATAGATTTAATGAATTTGAGCACTTTAATGTTAAGTAATGGCAGATTATTGGAGTATGCCTCACCGTTGTTTGGGTGCACTTCCTTTTTACTTTGTTACTTTTAATGCTCTCTTTGTTGCCACCTAATTGAGTGGCATGGTTATTTCTCTAGTTCTGTTAAAAATTAAATCTGGAAAGATTTCAGACACAATACATTATTTTCATAATGCATATATAGCTTGTATGTGACCAAAAATATGTTTTTATTCAGTGTAACACTGAAACCCTTTGCATTCATTGCATACACCTCTTATTTAGATGGAAATCCCTAAATTAATTTAAAGATAACTGCAAAGTACTGACAAGTACTAACTGAAAGTGATTACATAATAGGAGAGGAGGCTAAATACCTGCCTGCATTATATTTTAAATTAATCGTCTGTATTAAGTCTGGAGGCCTAGTCTAAAATTGGTACATATAACAGAAAATACCATATATTTCTGCTTCCTCCCAGAAACACCACGAAATCTTTTTTTAAAATAACTTACATTTGTGGCTGACATCAGCTCACTTCTATCTCCTTCTTCACAGCTGGAAGAGTCCAACCGCACACTGACAGTGGATGTAGGCAACCTGGCCAGTGAGAAGGAAGAATTGAACAACCAGCTGAAAGAGCTCGAACAAGGTGAGACCTGCATTTTAATGTGAATATGACAGAAATTACAATTCCAGCTGATCCCTTGAAGCATGTCCAAAAGCTCTCCTTATTAACTAGTTGCCAGGTATGTTTGTTTGTTGCCTCATTCTTCCAATATTGCACAACTATAAATAACAGGATACATTTTTCCGCTTTCTGCACTAACTTCTTTATAAGCAAAACCACAGTTGTAAAGGAGCTTTAAAAGAAAAAAAAATACGGAAAATCTAAAACTTTGAGCTTTTTTTTTCTTTCTGCATCACTGAAAATCTACAAATACATAAAGTTTACTCAGAATGAAACAGATAAACACATAAAACATTATATAGTTATAGCATTTAATCTATACCAGTTAGATTAGAGTTCCCTTTCTTCCTTTATTATTCTTTGTTTTGCTTGTTCTGATGTTTTTTCTGTACTGCTTACAATTTGTTTTATGTAAAATGCAGCAGTTGACTGAATTGTGGCATCTGGGGTTGTGTGACATTTATTAGCCAAGTGGGGTTTTTGATTAAATGTTTAAAAAGGCTTGCCACATTTACTGTGAAGTTATTTAGATATTGCACCAGAGTTGAGTAACCACTGTAACTTTGCTGTACGGTGATGGAAACAAAATGGTGACAGAATTTTTTTTTTGCATTTTTTTAAATCATTTTTATTATGTCCAGTTTGAATTAAATCTCATGAAAAATTCTTAGTCAGGTAGTTCCTGAAATGGAGACTTCAACATTTGTTTTTTTTTCAGTGTATCACTAGCTTTAAAATGATGTTCAATGTGTTTTACATAAAAATGTAAGTTTTAAACTATAATGACAATTTTGTTTACCTGTTATAGAACTCCAGAAAGCCAAAGAGACGGAGAAGAAGATTGAAAGCCAAAAACTATCTTTGGAAAAGCAAATTCAGACTGAAAAGACTCTTAAAATTCAGGTGCGTCCACCTACACAGGTCTGAAAATTGTCCATATTTTCTCTTACTTTTGAACTTCAAAAAACAAAAAATAGTTATTTTCTGTCATCTTTCGTTAAGAACATCTTGCTGCCTCAGGCTTGTATTGAACTGTGGACATCTGTAAGGAAGCATAAATACACCTTTTCTCACAGCAGCATTGATTACTGCAAGCCTCCCAGCTTACTGAGCCTCAGAGTTTATATTTACCATAAAAATAGTTTTTTCTTTTTTAATGTAGCTTGTTTTTGCTCCCAGGCTGTGAACAAGCTGTCTGAGGTGATGGCAAAGAGGAAGGATCAGGAGCGAGGAGGCATCCGGATTGTCAACTCTGAGGTGCACAAGACGAAGCAGGAGAACAGGAAGCTGCAGCAGGATCTGAAAGCAGAGAGGCAAAAAATTAACAGCATCCTCTTCAAACACCAGAAGGAGCTGGAAGACGTACAGGCGGTCAGTGCACCCACAACATGCCTGAAATATATGCAGCTTATATAGGCTACTTGTTAACAGAAAACCTCTGTTTTTGACACACCAAAAAAAGCTGCAGTTTCTTTTTACTGCTCAGATTCCTTCTGGGTAAAAGGCTACAAATAATACGTTATTTGCAAAGAACTTTGATTGTATAATGTAGACAACAGATAAATTAGGTTTGTAGGGCCTATAATTACATGTACAAGTCAGGTCAAAAGCTTAAATACACAGACCAGAAATATATTTGTTTTTGGTATTAAACCATGCATCTAAAAAGTTTTTTTTTAGGGATCTGAGGAATATTAAACAGCAAAAATATTATACATATTTAAAGGGGAAAATACTTTTACCACAACATTGTATATTATGTTTTTTCTAAGCGTCTCTCTTATATAAATAGTTTTTCAGATTAGTCTTAGTCTTTAAATTGAGAATTTTTTTGTAATGTATGTGTGTCTGTGTGCACAGCTGTTGGTGGATGAGAGCCACCACTGCCAGGAGTTGCAGATGATTCTGGACAGCAGAGAAAGCGACATTGAGCATCTTCGCTGTCAGCTCACGTCGCTTAGTGTTCACTCTCTGGACACCACCAGCATCAGCAGCAATAACGATTTGGAAATTGCTGATGGATTCCCAGGTAGGCCCTCAATCTAAGCTCCTCACATCTCTCAGATTTCTCCCTGTATTATTGAACACTTAAAGATACTGCTGCATGGATTCCCCTTCTTTTTATTGTTTACTTCTACTTCTTTCTTCATTTTCCCACTTTTCTTACCACACAACCTGGCTTTCATGCTCCTGTTCAGTGCGCATTACTCATTCTCGTACCTCCGAGTCAATGTCCTTTACCTATCAGCGCTCCCACAAATCTGTCTGCATTGATACTCGGCCCAACCTTCGCTCAGCTCGGGCTCTGTTGGACTCCGAGCCTGATGATGAGGAAGAAAACGACTATCCTGAAGTGCAGGGCCAGGGCCCTCTGCCTCTGACCTATCCACAGTCCCCTGAGCCTGAATCTGGAGGTGATCCTGCACGTCGTAGAAGTTTGAACTCCAACCAAACATGTTTTTAGCAACAACAAAAAAAGAAGTTCTGTGGCTTTGCTGCTAATCTTTCTCCTTCTTTTGACTTTTTGTGTTTGCTTGACATATTAAAACTCACAGCATGGTCTTGCTGAGCTGTCCTAAATGTAATCTGCTTATAGAAGACAATTACAGACTTGAATTGATGTTGAGATTTTTCAAAACTCATGATTTAATCTTCTTTGCTAAAATCGTCTCACTGCATAATTTATTCTTTCCTCCCAGAAAGACAAGCACGTTGCATAAATAACACATTCCAAACGCTTAAAAATGTTAAGGTTTGTTTTTAGTGAGTTCTATGATTGAAGGCTGCTCTCCTTTTAATGCCACCATCTTCCTGTTTTTTTTTGTTTTTCTCTCTTTCTGCTCACTAGATTCCAGGCTGGAGGGATGGCTCTCGCTTCCTTCCAAGAACACAAAGAGAATTGGCTGGGACAAAAAAGTAATCAGTCCGACAGTGTTTCTTTTTTTAAGGGTTATGTTTATTTTGTTATCAGCAAAGTCCTTTCCTCATTTGACCTGCTTTGATCTGCCTTTCCCTTTCCTTTGCAGTATGTGGTTGTGAGCAGCAAAAAAATCCTGTTTTACCACAGTGAGATGGACAAAGAACAAGCCAAGCCATTCATGACGCTTGACATTGAGTGAGTCATTACAACCTGAATATCTAAAATTTTCTCTGAACAGGAATGCAAAACTCAACTTTAAAGAAAAGGCTGTAAAACTGGACAAAATTGAAAAAAATATTTAATCAATCCTATTACAGCCTGTGTGTGTTTCTTTAACATATTTAGAAATAGGGATATTTGATTTCATATCTATCAAGTTCATGTGATTAATACAAACTAATCAGCATTTTCTAGGTTTTTATAGCTTGTATTGTGGGCGTGTAACGAAAAAAGAGACAGATGTAAAAACAAAAAACAAAAAAAAACAACATCAACAAGGACAAGTAGAAAGCCACAAGAATCTCCTCACTTAAGCTATTTCAGCTCATTGTGGTGACACGAGGCGTCATTGTTTTGTCTACTCTTCTTTTCACTGTTTGGAGTACATGCTTCAGTGAAAAGCTTTTTGTGAGTAAGGTTGATGTTTTGGGTTTATTTTTAGTTAAATCATTCTTTCTCAGACATGAATAAAAGTTAAAAGAATCAGACACTGCTAGTTTCTTTTTTATATGGGAGTCTCCGTATTATTTCACAATACTGTAGAAAAAGTTGTGATTACTTAAATAAAGGCTAAAACATAACAGTTGAATGTTCTTCTTTTCCTTATATGGAGAAAAGTGTTTTAAATATTGTGACAAAGCATTAGGGACATGATAAACTCAACCAAAATGAAAAATAATGAAAGTCCTCTATAATAAGTTTGTGTTTATTTTGTTTTTTATCATTTTATGAAACAAAATCTGACTTAACTTTTTATTAATTTACTTTGGGACAGATGGGGTTTCAAATATCTTTTCGGTTTGCTAAATGCAAGGTTATTCAGAAATATTTCTTGAAAACTTCTAAGTTTCTAATTTCTGTTTCCATTTTAGAAAGCTGTTCCATGTCCGACCCATAACTCAGACAGATTGTTACCGAGCAGATGTCAAAGAAATCCCTAGAATATTCCAGGTAATAAGTGACTATGATTCTTTTACCTTGTTTCTTGTGCATATTTCTTTATAATAAAGTTCCTTCATCTCACCTTTTCCTTCAGATCTTGTATGCCAACGAAGGGGAGAGCAAACGCGAGCAGGAGGAGGCGGAGGAGTCTTCACCATCCGAACGTTCCCCTTTTGTCAGCCACAAAGGCCACGAGTTTGTTGGCACCATTTACCACCTCCCCTCCAGCTGTGATGCCTGTTCACGGCCCTTATGGAATGTCTTTAAGCCTCCAGCAGCACTTGAGTGCCGCTGCTGCCACGCCAAGTTCCATAGAGACCATCTGGACAAGAAAGAAGAAGTTATACCGCCCTGCAAAGGTATCATTGTTTTGTTTTCAGGGGTTCTTTTGTAACCTGTTAAAATATGTAATGTATTTTTAATAAAAAAAATAAAATGGAAATAGTTGAGAAAACCTGTTTTCACACATTTTTGTTTAGACGTTAATGTAGTAAATTAGTTTAGAGCCATAGGGGTTGTAAGAAGTTAAAGTTTGTATAAAATAGGTTAGTTTTCTCATTTTTAGATTGGCCTTATAAAAGTAATAATCCCCCTAGAACTTAACATTTAAACTTCTTCCAAAAGAGGAAGTTTTTTAAACAGGTGGAACCCCATAACTAATTAAATGTTCTATAATCAAGATATCTGATGTTTGATGTTTAATCTTATAAAGAAAATATTTCAAGTCAAAAAGTATTTTAAAGAAAAAGAAAAACTTTAATTTCCATCTTTTGAACTTTTCATCTTTACATTGTAAATCCTCCCTAGTGAACTACGATGTGTCCACCGCCAAAGACCTACTCCTGCTGACTGGCTCCCAGACGGAACAGCAGCGTTGGGTCAGACATCTCCTCAAGCGCATCCCGAGGAAAACCTCAACACTAAGTCCTCCCCCTGCAGCTCGGAACATCTCTGATGATTCTCTGCCGCGTTCCTCTCCACAAGTGTCCCCGCACTCCTCTCCGAGGACCTCCCCTCGCCTGTCTCACCGCCGTGCCATCAAGGTCCAGTCCACCAGACACCAGCAGACATCAGAGAACTCAAGGTGAGGGGTATAGACATACGGCTTTGAGAGACCAGTCAAACATTTTCACGTTTCAGCCACCAATTTAAATGTCTTTCTAAAATTTTTTTTTGAACACATCGTATCATTAAAAGGTGGCAGAGTATTTTTGTTGTTGTTGTTTTTCATTCTTTTTTTATTGTGCCATAAAAAGTTGTATGTTTTTCCCCAGAAAGCTTCTCGAGTCATTTTCACATGCAAAACACTGAAAGCAACAACAAAAAAAAGCACTTACTCCTGACCCAATAGAATATTCACTAATCACATATCTTGCGTCTGTAATGAAGCTCGATAGTCTCAGCCACACCCTAATTGGCTTTCATCCTGCAGCTCGGGCCCTATGCTCCGTATCATCCTCCACTGACCCTTGATCTCCTCACCTCTGACCCCACATTTCTAAAATCTCTCACGCTTGGAGACTGTAAGTAGAAGGAGCCCAGTAAGCCTTGTCCGCCTGCTTCATTGCTGTGCTGCAGTGCCAACTAACCACTGCCACATATAGAGCAGCATGTACATGCATAGTGACACGTGAGCTAGACTTCGCTCGACACTTCCTCCTGGTGACTGTGGCAGGCCTTGACAGAAACAGATTTGATGTCATTCCTTGAAACTCATCTTTTCAGGCTGCTTGAGTTTGACCTGAAAGACTGGATTTGGTCCATGGGTGATGATGATGATGATGGTGATAATGGTGGGGATGATGATATTTTCTTCTGAAAGGAGAGACAGAGGGTAACTCCACCTCTGCATGAAAACCGTTTGAACATTATAAATTAGGCATTTTTTATTTATTTATTTATTTATTTTTTTACAGGAGCATGTTTTTGTGTGATTCACGAATTAAACAGTTTAGTGCAAAACTAGCATTAGAATGTTTGATTTTTGAATTTCCACAAGCCTTGTAAGCTGCATCCTACTACAAGTCTCTACAAAAGGATAAAATCCTCCATTATAAAACAGTGCCTTGCAAACATGCAGAAGGAGCCTACCCCTGCATGTGTCTGCATTTTTAAGCCCTGATGCGTTTGAATGCAGAGTAGCTTTCTTGTTTTAGTATGTGTGGATTTCGTGTGGGCGTTGTTTTAGATATCTTGCCACTCTGCTGCTTGCAAACCAAGTTTTTCTCACTCTGCTTTTTTTTTCTTCTCCCCCATCTCTCTTTCAGTTAACCCCAGCTCTGTTTTCATCCATCTGGATCGTCTGGACCCAGTTGACCGCGTATGAAAAGTCCATAAAAAGGAAAAAGAAAAGCAAAACACATGACAGAAATTCAGATTAACCGGCTGTTGTCATGAGAACTGGAATGTATTCTGTCATTTTTGACAGGGGGAGCCTCAACCACATCTTTATAATGAGACTGCTTTTTTTAGAATCATTATTGAACTCATTTAAAGTCGTTTGCAAAATGTTCCTTTTTTTTCCGTAGAAACCCATACAGTAGAAAAACACAAAGCACAGCTCATATAATAGGATTGTTATATTTCTATGGGTATTGTAGAGGCACATTATACAGGGTGTCCTGTAAATGTATGAACAGAGTTTTAGAGTGGGAGATTTTATCCTTTCGAGCCTTTGTCGTGGATGTTTTATCACACTAAATATAGACATCCCAGCTTTACAGAACAATGTGAAATGTATTTCTTCTCACAGTTCAATATTCAGGACATTAAAACAAACATACAAAAATGCTATGATGTTTTTTTCTATTTTTGTCTTACCTCAAAACCTGCCTGACTCACATTCGAGTATCTCATGTGGACTGTGAGAGAAAAAAGATCCAGAAAACTTCAACATCAGCAATCCTTGAGTTTATGCACAAGTTATTTGCTGTGAATTTTGTAACTAAATATGCAAGCCCAATTATGTGCATACAACAATTTTGGTGTTTATAAATTGGTTCCAGAAAAACCACCTCCTTTTGTAGCCACCGACAACCTTCAGCCTCATTTCTATTGGAATCTTGCAACCCTCCTCATCAACCTTAATGTCTTTCCCAAAAGGCATTGTTATCATCCATGGAGGATGTCCCACTTCCCACTTGGGCTTGAATTTGTTCTTGATCCCTTTCCTCTTAGTCTACTTTCATACAAAAATGGCTTCGCAGTGTTAAGTCAAAGGTGTTTATTTAGCATGTTTTCACAGAAAGTATAACAATGTGCTGCTTTCCATTCAAAAACTGAAAATCTATCAAAATTAAGCGCTATGTTTCCTGCAGAGGTCTGAGCACCAAAGACAAAGTAATTACCGGTATATCAATAAATTTCTCATAATTGTCTTTTTTCTTTGTGTGAGTTTTTCAAATTAAAATGGGACGAGCACGTAGGACGGCCTTACGTACATACAGTGGTGTCAAAAGTTCACACTTTTGTTACTTAAAGCTTAAGTGTGTAATTTTCAGCAACATCTAACGTCCAGACTGCAGACCGCAGCAACATGAACATCTCCCCCTCACCGCTTCTCCCCCCCAACAGTACGGCGAGCGTTACGGGACAAAATGTCTTCCACGACGTCCGCATCACCTACCTTCTCAAGTGATGAGGTTTGTTTACATAGATAATTTTACAGATAGTATTACATTAGTCTGTGTAGGGTATAGATTTCATGTAGACTTAAGATAATAAATATACCCGCTTTCGAGTGTAATGGGCGATCTCGCAATCGCTAGTTTGTTGGCTCTGCGCTGCCGTAGCGCAAAGATGTCTGCCTCCATGGCTGCGAGACCCGCTCCTATGTAATTATAAGTAACGAATTCTAAGGCAACGCAAATATTAAGGTTAAGAGGCTGAGCTCGTAGATGATGATAAATAACATAGTTATGTATAATATATTACATTTATGACTGTATATCCCTGTAATTATTACACACTGTAGCTTTAAGTAGAAGTATATACTGCAGTTAAAAAACACTGGTAAAAGTTGAAGTATCAACTTGACCTCTTTACTCAAGTAAAAGGGAAAAGTATGTGCTCAAAAAAATACTTAAAGTATAAAAGTATAATGTAACCTTTAAAAAAAAAAAAACCAAAAGCCAACAAAAGAAATGAAAACCCAAATTTTTTTTTAACTATTTTGAAAAGTTCTTTGAGATAGGGCCAAGGATGAGGGAGGTCCAGTTGGTCTCCATCTCCCGATACGCTCGCGCCTGTGTCCGACCTTTCAGACATTTCAACATCTTTTTCTGAATCCGACATTGTAGCATGGCATAGACAATTCACGTTTGCAATTTTAAGAACACCTGCTTGCTTCTGATGATTTCCTTTAGCTAACCAATGAGTTTTTTGGTTATATAACTCATGCAATTACACTAGTTTTCACTAGATGTGGATGGATCCAATGATCTACATTGGATGATGCACAGGACGGGAAATAAATATTTATAAACATTAAAGAGTAACGAGTAACATTTGTTTTAAAAATGTAGGGAATAGAAAGTACAGATACTTGTGTGAAAACATAATGAGTAGAAGTCAGAAGTAGGAAGAAAAATAACTAATGGAGTAAAATATAGATACCTAAAAAGTGTACTTAATTACAGTAACAAAGTATTTGTACTTCAAACTTGACACCTCTGCGTACATATATCACCAGAATGATTGACACTTAGCAGGACCACTTGTTATGATGATCCACCCAGAAAAAGTACATCCTCCACTATACCGTTAAGCAATAAAAAAGGCCTTTGGACTGAAAATATGAATCTGCTTTGTCTCAAAGTGACCCCTTTGGCAAATAATTTGTTTAATAAGACTCTTAGGCACATTGTTTTAAGCAGCCTTTAACAATTCAAATTTGTCACACAGACAGTTTGTTCTGATTTCTTCAGCTGAATTTATAAAGATAATAAATATTCAGGTTTTGCTGTGTCAGTGTTTTACTGAATTACCTTTAATATTTTCTAGAGACTTTACGTTCCTGGTAATGTATTTGCACAGACAGTCTTATTTTAAGTCATGCAGTACACTACACTGCAAAAAATTTAAATCTAGAGTATTTGTTTTTAGATATGTGCACTTTTTCTTGAATTGAGGGGGTAGGTGAGACAGTATACAAGACAAAAGACATTTAAATAAGAGCAAATATTGTCTTATTTCAAGGGCATATTATCTAATTACCTTATTTTAGGGGTAAAAAATACTCAGTCCATTGCCAAATCATCTCATTTACCTACTCATATTAATGGTAAGACATTTAATTATTTCTAGATCGCTTTTGCAGTGTACCTCGTATACTTTAAATTACATTTCACCAAAAAAACTAAACCCAAATTAGATAATTACATCTTATTATCAATGCATCAAATATATCACCTTTTGTTTTGTACACTGAGAGCCGTATATTTCAGAGGGACTGTAGTTTACAAGTGCATTTGGACTGGTCTGAAATCAATCTTTCAGGGCACCCCAAAGCCAACTATCGCCTCTATCCACAATGTAATGGTTAATTTGTTTCCCAGATGCTATTATCTTATCCCATATTTCAGGTTTTAATCCAATATGAGTGTGACTCCATGTTTTGAATAATTTCCAGCAGATAAAACCTGCTCCTCCTGCCTCTATATTGTAAATTCTCTTCATGTACATTTTTAAAAATGTGTCTGTCTTCATCTGAGGTAAGTTCTTTATTTTATTAGGCTTTTTTGTGCTTCTCTACACTTAACAAAAGAGGCTTTCTCTGAATCTAAAAAAAAGAACAAAACTGCAGATTCTACATGGAAATGGGGACACAATTACCTACTGTGCCACAGGTGCATTGTATTAACATTACCAATGCAAATCTTTAAACCATAATCATTCCGAATGTCTCATCTAAAAGCCTTTAATGGAGAGATAGCTGCAATTATGTTAGAAAGCTGTTGCACTCAAAATCATAAAGTAATATGGTGGCCCAAAAGTGTACAAAGTTGTTTTTAAACATTCTCCTCCTGAGATTGGGACTCTATGAAATATTATAGGGCAAAAAAATTAATAAGTGTTTTATTGCAGCAGAAAAAAATCCAGGCCTTCATTTTAACAAATATTCAGTGCATGGAAGAAATTGCACACATTCTCAATAGTTTTACTTAAGACACAGGTATTTGGCTTTTTGGCTGACCTACTTTATACAATCACCTAGTCCCAATATGATACCAGTTATTCTCCCATTAAACTCTACAATGGTACAATGAACAGAATGGGACATTTAACCATTCCCCTTTGCACCAACTTTGCCTCTCCTCAGTTTTTATAGAGGTTTTATGTGTTGGAACTAAGATGGTCATGAAAAAGATTCTGATTGACTAAATCTGTTTTGTTTACTTTTTTTTTAATCATTATCATACGGAAAGATCAAGTTTGGACCAACATAAGGTCAGAGATGGGAAGTAACGAAGTACAAATACTTTGTTACTGTACTCAAGTAGATTTTTCTGATATTTTTACTTTACTACTATTATTTTTATGGCGACTTTTTACTTCTACTCCTTACATTTTTACACAAATATCTGTACTTTCTACTCCTTACATTTTTCAAAAAATGGCTCGTTACTTTAGTTTTGAATCATTTCAATGGAGTTACCGTTATTATTTTTTATGTTATCAATACCAAATTCAATGTAATTGGATGGGAATCTACGTTGCATTTGACGAAACACTACAAGATGAATCGACAGATTCGGCGGTATTCATTCGCGGCAAATCATTGCAGCTTGGTGGCGGTGGCGTTAGCATAGTAGCATAATACAACAGAGATCTAGTCCTATTG